GAATTGTAGTATTTTTCATTTTAAAAACATCAAATTATGTATTATTGAACTATTTAAATAATTAAGCAACTGGCCTTACATCTGGCAACTTTTATAGTTACACAATTATACTTAAGATAACCAAATAAAAAAAGGGATATTTAATTCAAGTTCTTAATCTTATTTATCAAAATAGAAATCTTTTATTTAAAATCCATTTTCTGGGTTTAAATGATAAGACACTTCAGAATTCTTTTTAATAAATCTTTTTGATTACATCTATTATAATAATTTCTTTCAAATCTCTGCCCAACTTATTTAGATTTTTTGTTAATCCTATTTATAATGGTGTACAACTATCTCTATACAATCTACCAATAGCTATATGATTGGGATCAATAAAATCCATAACTGGATCTGCATATTCTTATAGACTTGCAGTCCAAAAAACAATATCATAATATTAATTAAGTTGTTCAATGAATTATTAAACTCCTGGTCGTATTGTTACATAAACAGTGAATATTTATCGTTGGACAATAATCTGAGATTAAACTCGCTTTTTACATCTATTGCAAAATCATAGCCATTTGTTAATTAAAATTAACTATGGACTAATGTTTCATCTAGATCGAGAACTATGAGTTTACGTTGTCCCTAACCAAATAAATTTTTGAAAGGTACTAAAAATGAGGATTTAGGACTATCAATCCCAAGCTGATATTTTTCTTGTTTTGTTTGATTTTATTTTAATTTTAAAAAGCTTAAACAAGAACAAATTCTAGCAATTATGGACTTAGTCTTTGTTATCTATTCTTTTTAATATAAAATTTTTTATTACATATAAAATTATTGAATTTTAAATTAAATGAAAATTAATTAATAATCAAATTTTATCATTAAGATCTGCTAATACATATCGTTTAGGTTTAATGCAAATATTTTCATCAATCATTTTAAAATGAATCTAATTACTAAAAGAAACTCTTTTAAGTTAATTGTTTTCTGATAAAAAAGGATGGAAAGATACTTAAGATGGCAAAGAAGGTTTTTAATTAAAAAATTTAGTTCGTTTGGTGTTCAATAATGTGATATCATTAGTATCAAAAGTTTTCATATCAAAATTTTATTGATTAAAAATACTTTTCTATTTCAAAATACCTTTAGGTTAAGATTTCTAAAGACTTATACTCTATAATTTTAAATTTTAATCTTTTCCATCATTTTTACGAGAACTTTTAATTATGAAAAAAGTTTCTTTATAATTTCTATTAGAAGGACAATTAGAATTTGATTAGATAGTTTCATCAATTGCATTATTATTATAGCCTTGTTGGAATTATAATAAATGATCTTAAACTTTACAGTTTTAAGAGATATTATTGAGTGATTATACATTAGAAATGGATTAAACTATAGGATTAAGCAATATTCTTGATTTTGACTTTAGAGAATTTGAGTTATAATAGCTAGCCTACTATTATCCAATTTACATCATTTTATAAGTTTGTTATGTGTTTATAATATAAATTATATTTATAAATAAATGAATAAGAAAATAACACAAAAAATTCAATTTGATAATTAATTTTTGAGTTCCTTTCATATTAGAATATATCTTACTTAAAGTTCTTATTCTAATTTTTAAACTTCGTTCATCATAAGTTAATCATTTATTTAAACTTACTTCTTTAAATTAATATTCTAATTTATATTATATATTATACATCTTCTTTAAGATAATCAACATATTCAAAAGCTATTTTGATTTTTTTTTGTGAAGTTAAGTTATCTTATATATCAAATTTTTGAATTTCAATTTATTTTTAATCATTCTTTTTAGAAGTATTAAGATTTGATTCATCTGATAAGAAATTCTTTTTAACTTCATTCATAGTATTCATTAATTCATTATTCAATATTTCTAATTATTCAATATCAGTCATTATTACTTCCTATAAAAATAAGTGTAAAATATTCACCTTTTCATTTTACAATACTTTTAATCTCATTTCATAATCATGATATAATTAAACTGGAAATGTAATATTAATTTGCCATTTTTTTAAATATTTCATTATTAATCTTCTTTCATGCATATAATTCTTTCTAAATATTGTTTCAAGTCTTAAATGAATATCCAAATTTTAAGATTTAAAATTTTTAGTTTTTATTTTTGCACTTAATTTACTAGCTAAAATACTCTTGAATAAACATAAAATTTACTAAATTCTTTGAAATTCCATCTTAAACATCAATATCTTATATTTATGTTTATTTTAGAGTTCCTCTTATTTGAATAAAAACTGGTATCATTTATTTATATAAAATTGTTTTGATTGTTTCATAGATTCCAATAGTAGGATGTAAATTTGATTGTTTTATAAATCTCTATTATAATTTTTAATGTTCTAATTTGCAATGTACTAATTATCTAGCTAATTCTATATCAATTTATTGTTTTTATTCATTTGGAACAACATACTGAAAATTGTGATCAACTCTTTTTATGGATTATAAGAACAAAGTTCTCAATAAATTTAATTTACTATCTTATGTAATTTAATGTTGTTACTGATTTTGTTGACTAATATTAAAATAAAGTAATGTTGATTTGAATTGAAATATTTATAATGCTTTATTTTTTAAAATGCTTCTATTAATTCTAATTAATTTGGTTTCCTTATGTATATGTATGTTGCTTCTTCAGCATTATATAGATTTATTCTTAAATACTATAAACCTAAGTTAATTATTAATCTGTTTAATTTTGATTTTCTTTGAGTAATTCTTAATTTATTAAAACTCCATACTTTTAATGACTCTTATTTTGTTATTATTTTGCACAAAGTAAATTTATAAAAACCTATCATATTCTATTATTATTATTTTAGAAGTCGATTCAATTTCAATTCCAGTGTTAACTTAAACCATTTTCTAAATATTTGATGAGTAAGTGGTTAATACTATTAAGAATGTTGATTTCTTAATTCTTTTTTCAAATGGGACATTACATCTACTTTTGCAATATGAAAAAATCCTGTGCCTTTTAATCTTTAATTATATAATGTTATAGCATGTTAGAATTTCAATAAACCTTCTTAGATAACTCTTAATTAGGCTTTAATTTCTTCCTCTTATTTATTTTGTACATATATACTAATTCAACTTGACAAAACTACCTTAAATATTTAAACATTGTTGCAGCCTAATTTTTAATGGCATTATTGAGAATAAGTATCATCTTTTTTATACGATATTAACACATTCTAATATCGTGATAATTCTAACTTTAAAATAATTTACTTACTAAATTATAACTTCTATTGTTATATGTTGAATATGGAGATTTTTTTATTCTTCCATAAGATCTAGTCTCTTAAGGCTCTTATTTTTGACTAAATCCTAATCCTTTTACAAAGTATTGATTTTGCATAATATTTATTATAATTTAAAATTAAAAGTTGTTAATAAATAAAATTATTCATAAAATAACATCAAAATGTCTGAAGAAGATGAAGTCATATGTGAACAATGTTAAACTGTTCCAACATAATTTGTTATATTAGATTGCGAACATAAATTTTGTTTATATTGCATTTCACATGCTATTCATAAAGATGACAGTGGAGTACCTTGTCTAAAATGTAATGCTCCTACAGTTTTAGATCATGAATCATTATAAGCAGTTCAATAAACAAAAGAATCATAATCAAATGCTTCAAAGACTTAACCAAATTACAATGTTAAACCTTTTACAACAGAGAAGCGATAATATGTTTAACCACTTTAAGAGGATCTTACAATAAAAGGTCATCCTTGTTTAGAAAAATTAAATTTAGCAGTTGAAAGAAGTTTAGATAAGATTAGAAATATTCAATTCGATAAATAATAAGTAAAAGATAAATGTCAAACATAAAAAAATGATATAGACACAGAATTTAAGGCATTGCATATGTATTTAGATTCAAAATAAGAAGAATTTTAAAATCAATTATCTAATATTGAAACTACATATTTGAATGAACTTACAAAAGATGAAGAAGTTTAGGTATTCTATTTAAATAATTTAAGTAATTAGATATTGAAGAAATGAGTATAATTAAGAATGAAATTAAAGCAATTTTAAAAAATTAGGATAGTTAAGATATATATACATTCAAATAATTAGTGGCTACAGTAGATGGAATAGTATAAGATAAATAATTATCAATAAAGTAACTTGTAAATATAAAAATTATTATTTTAGAACTTATTCAAGTAAATGTAGGATGAATTGTAACAACTTTCTAAAAAATAAGCACAATTTTATTAGGATTTTAGAAGGTTCTTCAATATTTTATAACCTTTATAAATATCTCTAGTTCAAAATTATGCTAGTCCAATAAAAATAGAATATGGAAGTTCAATCACAAGGTATTTTAGATTATAATAATAATTAGTGATATATAAGATAAGATTAGAGAATTAAAGAACAGAAATTCAAGATCAATGAATACTTCTTAACTGAACAATTCTAGATCTTAGAATTCTCCACCTAAAAATACTTTTCTAAATGAAGAAATTAACATCTCAAGAAAACTGAGTAGAGAATAGAATAATGTTGTTTCACAAAGAAAATTAGGAACTTCACCTATGGATGCAAAAACTGTATTATAAAGTTCAATGAAACATAATAATAAATCAAATTCAAAATTTAACAAAATTTTAAATAGCCCCCTTACACTTGCAGGATTTTCATATTTGACTTGATTAAGTACTTTAGAGCTATAATTTATTAAAACCTATAATATCAGTAAATTATAAACTGGACTTATTTTTATTATTTTGCTATATATATATAATTATGATTTTTATATTAAAAAATTAATATAACTTTTATACATTTAATTTTAATGCAAAAATTTCATTATTAAAAAGCTACCAACAATGTTTAGGATTGGGATGCTTTAAATTTAATATTAAAACTTTACTTTCTTACGAATTTTGCCAGTATTTCTAAATTAAATTATTATTAATATATGTTTCAGAAATTCATTTCATAACTTAGCACAATCAAAAATGCTGAAATTCCTTTTTATTATAGAAATCAATTTAAAATCAAAGAAAATTTCATTAATCCTAACAGCAAATATTTTGATGGTATTGTATAAAAGTAAGAAATCAATATATTAATATAAAAGATTAGTTTAAGAGGAAAAATAAGGTAAAAAGAGAAAATGGGATAAGTAATGTAAGATGATGTTCATATGGGTCTTAAGTAAGTATTTTCAATTGAAAAATGAAAAAATCATTAACCCAAACAAAGAAGAATGGGTTGAGCTTGCAAGTATCTTATAAACTGATGAAACAATTCTGAAATAACGATGGATTACACTAATAAACCCTGTATAAAAGAGTATTAATTGGGATTCTTAAGAAGATGACATAATCCGTTCATTGATGAAGTAAAAATATATATAACAAAATAGTGAATAAGATGAGAAACATATATGGACATTTATAGCTTTGGAGTTATATAATAAAAATGGTGGATAATTTATAAGAACTCCTAAATAAGTTAGAGAAAGATGGATGAATTATTTAAACCCAAAATTGAATAAGTAAGTATAAGCCTATATAAATTAGAACTAATTGGACATAAACTGAAGACCTTCAATTATTGACTAATATTGTAAAAAATGGTAAGAGATGGTCATAACTATCAACTATATTACAAGGAAGAACAGAAAATTAAGTGAAAAATAGGTATTCAATTATATATATATTAAGATTCAAAAGTTTAATGTAGAAGATATACAAAGATGAAGAAGATGAAGAATTAGATGAGCTTTAAGCTATATAAGATTATCTAAAAAAATTAGGAGTTTCATATGAATAAGTTACAGGAGATCCTATCATTTAAAAAAAACAATCTTTTTAAGAGTTGAAGTATAAACCAAGAAAACTGCACAATTAACGTAAGTAACTCAAAAAAACAACAAAGAATAAGAAATTAAACAAAATTCATATTAAAACTTTCAAAAATTAAACAGAATCAAATAATTAAGAATTCATAATTAAAAATAATTAAATCAGTCTTATAGAAAATAATGATAATAAACCTAATGTTTAATGTCTTTAATTATAAAATGATATTCCTTATTCAGATTAACAAGAATAAATATAATATCAAAATTAGATTCCTGTAATTAATAATATTTAAACATTAAATACTTAAAACAATCTGTTTTAATCAATTTCCCAATAATAATAATAATAATAATAATAATAAAATTAGAATTAATTAATCTATCAAAGTTATAGAAATTAAATGGAAGAGTACCATCAATATTAATATAAAATGATAATGGAATAATATATGAAACAATTTTAATCTAATTACAATGCTATATCACCAATCTCTATAATTAATCAAACTCCAATGACCTATACACCTACATAATAATTTCAATTTTATTAAAATACATTTACTTCTCCTTAATAGAATTATAGTCCTAATTTAGATAACAATTCACCTAAATTATAACAATTTTACTGGTAAATTCAACAGCAAAATTATGATTAATTTTAGAATGAATAAATAAGACAAATGCAATTTGTATTTATTATAAACTTTATTAGAATAATAAATTAGAGTTTTTAAATTCGAATAATCTTGTAAATGATTGGAAAAGAAAAAGAGTTAATTAAAAGTAAAATTCGTAATTTTAATTTATGGATTCCTTAGATTAATGATAAAAAAATTAATTCTTATATCTTTAAAATAGAAAAAAAAATTATTTAATTTATTTAATATTCTTATCTGAAAATGTTAAAGTTTTCTTATTATAAATTGTATTTATATTTGAAATGAATTTAATTGAAATGAAATATTTGGATATAAAAATAATTTAAAAAATCATGCTTTGTTGAATCTTTCTGATAAAAATCCAAAATCTGATTCTTATATTGAATGATACATGCTCAATTAAGCTCTTTTAGTTACTGGTTGACCACTCTTGATTTTATTTTATGTTAATGAATAAGTATTTTTATGTAAATTGTCTTTAAAAAATGTACTTACAAATAATTTTTATGCCATTTATTAACGATATTATTATTTTTCTTCAGCTGTTGAATTTTAATTTAATGAAGTAATTTATTTATAAGGCGACTTCACTAATTAAGTTTTTTTCACAATTTCATCTGGGGAGAGGTACAATTTCCTTCTTAAATCATTTAATAGTTTTTATTAATTATCATCTTTATTCTAACTTTTTGGTAACTTTTACTCTGCATATTAAATTAATTATTTCTTAAATCCTTCATTAGGTTTAGAGCAATTTCTTTTAGACTTTACAAATTGAAAAGCTTATTCATAATCCCAATTATTTTTATGAATTAAATAAGCTAAAACACAAGAAACTGATCTAGAAATTCCTGCCATGCAATGAACTAATACAGAACCATATTAGAGTGACTCTTCTATGTATTTATTTGTTATTTCAATTAAATCAAGGATATTCACATTGACATTGTCCTTTATTTCAAAAACCTTTATAAATTATGATTATTTACTTTATGTCTCATTCTTTGATGTTGTGGATAAGATAAATTTGAGTTATTGGCTATTGTGAGTACTGTTTTAATGTTTTCTTGGTTTAGCCTAACGATATTTTAAGCTGCCTTTATATTACCCAACCATAAGGCGCCAGTTGTCTTAGTTTAAGGAAGTATTTTATCCATTTCGTTATATAAGGATTTCATTGAATATAGTTAAAATCTTTAATTTTTTATTTCTAGATATCAAGAAATTATTATTTGATTGTTCTTGTTTAATGTCAATATTGAGTTGGCTTCTTTTTTAATTAATATCTGATAAGAACTTGTATTATTATCTGTATATATTAAATTAAAAAAATGAATAATAATTGACTCATTTAAAATGAATGGAATGAACAAAGTTAATAAACAAATTATTTATAAGAATTAAATTAATATAATGATAAGAGATAGATATTTAAAAATTATATAAATNGAAAAAAAAATTATTTAATTTATTTAATATTCTTATCTGAAAATGTTAAAGTTTTCTTATTATAAATTGTATTTATATTTGAAATGAATTTAATTGAAATGAAATATTTGGATATAAAAATAATTTAAAAAATCATGCTTTGTTGAATCTTTCTGATAAAAATCCAAAATCTGATTCTTATATTGAATGATACATGCTCAATTAAGCTCTTTTAGTTACTGGTTGACCACTCTTGATTTTATTTTATGTTAATGAATAAGTATTTTTATGTAAATTGTCTTTAAAAAATGTACTTACAAATAATTTTTATGCCATTTATTAACGATATTATTATTTTTCTTCAGCTGTTGAATTTTAATTTAATGAAGTAATTTATTTATAAGGCGACTTCACTAATTAAGTTTTTTTCACAATTTCATCTGGGGAGAGGTACAATTTCCTTCTTAAATCATTTAATAGTTTTTATTAATTATCATCTTTATTCTAACTTTTTGGTAACTTTTACTCTGCATATTAAATTAATTATTTCTTAAATCCTTCATTAGGTTTAGAGCAATTTCTTTTAGACTTTACAAATTGAAAAGCTTATTCATAATCCCAATTATTTTTATGAATTAAATAAGCTAAAACACAAGAAACTGATCTAGAAATTCCTGCCATGCAATGAACTAATACAGAACCATATTAGAGTGACTCTTCTATGTATTTATTTGTTATTTCAATTAAATCAAGGATATTCACATTGACATTGTCCTTTATTTCAAAAACCTTTATAAATTATGATTATTTACTTTATGTCTCATTCTTTGATGTTGTGGATAAGATAAATTTGAGTTATTGGCTATTGTGAGTACTGTTTTAATGTTTTCTTGGTTTAGCCTAACGATATTTTAAGCTGCCTTTATATTACCCAACCATAAGGCGCCAGTTGTCTTAGTTTAAGGAAGTATTTTATCCATTTCGTTATATAAGGATTTCATTGAATATAGTTAAAATCTTTAATTTTTTATTTCTAGATATCAAGAAATTATTATTTGATTGTTCTTGTTTAATGTCAATATTGAGTTGGCTTCTTTTTTAATTAATATCTGATAAGAACTTGTATTATTATCTGTATATATTAAATTAAAAAAATGAATAATAATTGACTCATTTAAAATGAATGGAATGAACAAAGTTAATAAACAAATTATTTATAAGAATTAAATTAATATAATGATAAGAGATAGATATTTAAAAATTATATAAATATATATACAATAATATATTTAATCTATAATATATACATTTTTAATGTTACATTTATAAAGTACAAGTTCATTTAATTTTATTATTCAAAATTATCTTGGAATTATAAAAATAAAGCAAATATATATAATTGAATATTTAAAACTCAAAAACATATAAAGTAAATTGAATTTATTATCATAATTCAATTTATTTGAGGATCAATTTCAAAAATTGGCTTTCTTTAAATATAATTCCCAATTGTTTAATAATTTTCTAAAATATCTAATTTTTATATGAAAAATAATGAATAAATTGGCTTTGAAAATGTTGTACTAAAAACAAGCCCTGAAAATGAAACTGTCATTGAACTAGAATTTCAATAAACTCAATCTGAAACGTAGTTAGATTAAATTTTGGAAGAATAAATGTTTAATGAGAAACTAAAACAATGTGAATAAAAAAGAATAGAAAAATTGTAGAGGTATTTGATTAATAATCTATAAAAACTAATTTCAGAATACCTAAAGAATTTTAGGATAGATTACCTACAATTAGAGAAATCGCTGATATTTCTAACTCGTAATTGCATATCACACAAAATTAGAAAGAATATACAGAATAATCTAACACCTTAGTTTAGAATGATAATTAAAAAATGAAAAAAGTCAAACAGAGAACCTAAAAAAAGAATAAATTTGAACAATAACTTATGTATTATTCTAGCATAAACATCTCCTAATATTATGTTGATAAATCAATTGATTGTAGATGGAAACTATTATTTACATATTATATAATAATTATTGGAACTAATATCACATTAAATTTGATTGAATTAATTAGATATTAATAAAGCTTTTGTAGATTATAAGGATTAGATCACTCGCTCATTTATATTAATTAAATTGCTTACATTGCATGCAAGGTTGGAATATTAAATATCATCTATTAAGAATTTACTAATACTTTACCAATAAAAGTTAAAGTTCCATTATTGAATCAAGTTGTATTTAGTTGTATATTTCCAATTTTGTCTATGCCTCTTTATATATTTGACTTTGTATAATGCTAATATAGAATTAAGATTTTCACCCTTGATTAAAGTCTTAAGCTATTAAATTTAATAGATTGGTTGATTCTATCATTATTAATTCTTATAATAATAATTTAATCATGTTGTAGAATTTAGATTTCAAGTTAAGTCTTATAAAAAGTCATGTAATAATTACAATATTCTTTATAGGAAATATATGAAGATAGCATATTATATATCATTGATTATAGTGCACTGTATTTCAATTATAATGGTCATAGGGTAATCTTTTGATAATATTATGCCTGCTATGATAATGGAGAACTATTACTTCATATTTTCTGTAGTATTAATGTGCTATTTGTCTATATAAAAATATTTCTTTCACAAAATACCATTTTAATAGAACTCTTATTATTTAGAAAATGATACAAATTAAATGTCTTTAAAATCATGAGAATTATTATTATTATTATTACTTTTTCACCTATTTTAACATTATTTAATTAAAAATATAAACATATAATATAAAGGAAAGAATTAATAATTGATTAAATAGGTTATAAGCATTTATTTTTTATTTTAAAATTTTAACTTTTAAAGTCCTAAATATTGTAAATACAGGTTTATGACATAAACCTCTTTATTTAAGATTGATATAATAATGAGTTTATGTATTTATGAATTGAAAAAAGACTACTATTTTATTAAATGTTTGAAACTCTACCAAAAATAATAAATAGAAATTTGTTTGAAATAATTATAAAAATTTAACAATAGGTAAGAGAAGTTCATTCAACCTATATTTTATTTGGTATTAATAAAATCTTTAACTCTTGTTATTATTCTATCTGAAGCATGTTTGCTGTTATTATTTTAAGGATGATATCTCATATTTTATCCACAACATCCAGCTTAAAATAACTCTTGTATTTTTATTGGTATCTGTAATAAATAATTTTATTAAATCTCCCAATCATTACTTATATCTTTTATGCTAGTTAGAATAAAGTCTTAATCTTTTCCATATTTATAACCATTATGAAGTAAGTATTGTTCTTTGTCATCTTTTGTCGATACAATTACTCCATAATGAATTGGTTCATCATTATTTCCTATTTAAAGTCTACTAACTAGTTAGACTTTAACTACTTATAAACTCAATATATCTTTGAATGATTTATTTTTCATTATTAATAATAATATTTAAAGATGATATCGAAGTGAAATAACATTAAGCATAAAATCAATAAAAAATGATAAATATTATTAATCATTTTAAACCTCTTATTTGGATTTCTTTTGATTTATCATCCCATGTAATAAGCCAATCACCATCATCTGTTATTGAACCATAAATTTCATTTGTATCAAAATTTATAGCTTAATCAGTAACAAACTTATTTTTTCCTTTCCATCTAATAATATTAATTGTATGACAATTCTTATTTACTAATAATCCCTGTTTTTTACTAAATTATTAGGGAAATAGCCAAAGACAATTTTATCCTAATGATTTAACAGCAATTTCCTTTGATTTATAAAATCCTTTTTTAGATTCCTTTTATTCATATATATGCATGACATCTTTTTTACAAGGTTAAAATGTAAATAAATTATCAGTTATAAAACATAATCTTCTTCCCCAATCTACTTTAATTACTTATATTATTGTCCATTGTTTATCTTTACCTTATGGTTCACTTACTAAAATTTAATCATCATAAGCACCTGATATCAATTTGTTTTCTGATTCATTTAAGCTAATACTACATACATATTAATTATGACCTTTTAATGTTTAATGTAATTCCCAAATTTAAGATTTCTTCCAAAATTTTATAGTTTTATCATTACTACATGATATAATCATATTCTCAATTTTACTATATATAATATGTCCTAGATAATCTGTATGACCAGCCAATCTTTATTCACATTACCATTCTTATTTGTTTTCTTAACAATTTGACCAAATTAACATCGATCCATCTAAGCATCCAGATATAAATCTATTTTAATTTTTAAGAAATGTGCAATATACAATTAGACTTGGATGATCACTGAAAGTCTATTGTAATATTAAGGATTCTTTATTGAATACAAAAAGTTTAATAGATTTTTCACAAGCTGCAATAAGTAATGAAGAATCTGAATTAAATGAAAATGATCTACAAGGTTCTTCTTATATTATTGAAATTTTATTTAATATATATTGAAACTTTTTTTCAATAATAGTTTATGATTAATTATTGAAGATTTCATCAAATTATTTTTCAATTTCAGATTATTTTTAAACTTTATTTTGTATTTTTTCCTAATTAGTTCTATTGGAATATTATTCTTTATTTTTTCTTTTAATTTTACTATCTTCTTTTTAATCATTATTTAAAGGTATAATTTCTAATTAATTTTTAAGTTTATTATTATTATTATCTTTTATTTATAATGTTTTTGGAGTTTTATTTAAAGTTTCTTTCCTTGAATTATGTTAACAATTTATATCTGTTTAAATATCATTTTAAGAGAAATAATCTATAATCATCAATTATTTAATTTAATTTTTTCCTGTATGTTAGGTTGATTTCATTTTATTAAATGCATCATTAATCTTTTTATTAATTTCTTAATTGATTTTTATAAAATCTATATAAATCTATGATTTTACTATATCTTCTTATTCATTTTAACATAATTTTTCTGCTAATTCTGTGACTTCATCATTCTTTAATGCTTACCAATCAATATTAAGATTATTTAAATAAGTTTCAGCTTTTTATTTAATTTCTTTATTATTTTAAGATAAAGAACTAGTAACATCTTTAATTACATTTCTATAAGCAATCTTTATAGAATTGAATGATTACTTTATTTGATCAATAGATTCAGAATATTTATTAAGATTTTAAATTTTTTATGTTTCTTATTTTCTATACAATTTTTATGCTATCTTAATAGCTGTATATTAAGTAGGATAATTTTAAATACAATAAACACATGCCAATCTTTTTTAAATTTTAGGTTTTTAGTTTAAATCTACCATGATTATTTCAGTATCATGTTATTAACAAATTAAATTGTTTTATGTAATTATTGATTTATCAAGTTATTATAATACATTTTAATTTTAAGGTGGATCAAATTTTTCTTCATTAATAATTGCAAGCAATTTTGTACAATTATTAAAATGATCATTATCTTTTAATATCTTTAATTATTGTTAAATAAATTATAAACATTTTTCTTTTTATTTTTATAATTCCTAGACTTACTATTAAGCATTCTATAATGATGTATTGAGATCAAAATTAAGAATTTAAATAGAAGATCTAGCACATTGATCTTGTTCAGATATATTCTTTATCCAATCATTAACAGTTTTAATTGATTCATTTATTGATTATTTCATAAAAACTTTTAGTTTTTCTAATTCTTACATTAATTAATAGAGTGTTTTCATATTTTTTCTTGTATCAACATCCAATTATTAGTATTCTTCTTTAATATTTTTTGTAATATCTAAAACATCTTCAACTAACAACACCTTTTTATTGTAACTTTATGGCCAACATTTAAGACATAATCCTTAACTTATAGTATTTTAATCATTAAAGGCAACAGCAACAATTGGTTCCTAATGTTCTTAACAGAGTTATTCAAGTAAGGAATTTTACATTAAACTTAATTCTATTTTTTCGAATGCTTTTTGTATTAAGTAAATTATGAACTCAAATAATTTGATTCATAAAATCAAAACTTTATTGGTATTGATTTTTTTGATTTGTTGTTAATAATTCATATATTATATATAAATATATATATTTAATTATATTATAAGAATAAATATGGCTTCTCAAGCTATTGCAAAAGATTTGTATACATATACTAATGATGAAAGGTTTAGTATCTATTAATATACTATCTAGCTTATCAATGATGATCTATTCAATTAAAGGTAATCAAGTGTGCAAAGACTAAAGAAAAAGTTTTAATCTTTGCAGATCAACACCTTTAGGAAAACATGTTGAACCAGAGTTTTGTAAAGATAGTGCATTATCATTCATTGATTGCTTTTTGGGAGTGTATACAATCTTTACTATTTTTAAGTCAAAGGAATACTAAGTGTCATTAACAATTTTAGAAAGTGTTTGACATCGCCAAAACTGGCTAATATGCTTAAGAAAGTTTGGAAGATTATTTGAAATGTTGAATACAATTATACAATAGTATCCAAAAATATTATCCTTATATATATATCATTTGAAGCTCATCTAAGTTAACCATTTCTCAAATGCTCCCTAACCTTCCTTTTCAATTGTCCCTCTACCTTAATTTGTAATCACCTAACCATTATTCGGATTCAAAATAAGTAAACATGGTATTCCTAAATATATATATATTTTTATTCTTACCTTGTATATGTTTTTTATATTCATAATACACTTAATATTTTATAAACTCTTTGAAATCATAAAATAACCAAGGCATATCACTTACTATTTCTTTATATTTCTCCTCATTCTCATCCATTCCAAGATAAATTATTTCGAATTATTGAATGTCTTCATTTATTTTATTGTAAAATTCAACTGCTCAATAATTTAATTAATTACTTAATGAAGGTGTAAATCTTTAACATGGTACACTCCAATTAGCTCCAATATATACACCTACCAATCTAGCATTTTTTAGATTAGGACCATCAGTTGGTCCCTCAACAGACTGAAAGGAAGTACCAAATTTATCCATTATTTTATAGATAATTTATATATATAATTTAAAAACTGTTATCTATTTTCCTTTAAAACCTTAATTACATATTAAACAATAAAAAATGAATACAAAAATTTTAATTTATATATCTAGAACATTACTTGAAATTTATTACAAATGAAAATTACAGATATCCCATTAAATCTTATTAAATACTAATAGTCTATTAAAAATATGGTACATATTCAAGTATTAACAATTGATTTTAGAAATTCACTGCAGCTTCCAAATCCAAAAAATATATTAAGAAGTCTGTTGAAACATTCTACAGAATGACTAGTGTACTCAATGACTTAAGCAATAATCGAAATAATATCAAAAAAGATAAGAAGATTCTGAACAGAATATATTGAATTAAAATAATGAATTTATTTTATTAATAGATATCATATACTACTCTAAATTGTCTTAGTTTTAGATTTAATATATAACAATTATTAATTTTAATTCAATATACTTAAATTTATCTAAATTCTATTTTAATAATAAATATATTCTTATAAATTTATATAAAAATTGTGATAATTATGATGATTTTAGTTTAAAATAAGAATTATTTACAATAACTCTTTTAAAATAATAATACAATCTATAAATAAAAATTTTAATACTATAAATTTTATAATTTATAATCTCAAATAATTCAATTGTCTTTATATTAGCCTTTTTAATCTATTACATAAAATAGATACTTTATTCTGGTTTTCTTATCAGATCAATCTAAATAAATAATTTTATATAAAATAATTAATTGTATAAAACTCATCAATCATTATGACGTAATTATGTAAGATTTTTAATAATCTAATTCGTGTTTCTTTTAAACACAGATTTCTAATCATAAGCACCTGGACCTGGAGTTTGATTATTTTTTGTGAAATCAATTTTTTATCCATAGCCAAATGAAATTTTATTAAATCTGGATTGTTCAATGAGTTTATTATTAACTTCATAAGAATTAGGTCCTGGTACAGAATCTTTAAAAGTAGTTACAGGTTTAAATCTTATCCCAATAGTTGCTGCAGGCTTTAATATAATTTGAAATTAAATTTACCTTATCAGACCCTACAGGATTTGAAGTTTCATAAGAAGCTGGACCAGGTAAAGTCACAAAATTTTAATTTTTCCATCTCTCATCTTATGGTAAATTAGTTTTATTTTCTTTACGGAAAAATAAAGGGTTTCCTAGAAAATAAGCATTTGGGGGAGGATTCTATTCTGCATTTCTTTGAACATATGCATGTGCAATTTATTTAGATCCATAACCAAAACTTGCTTTTCTACCACTTCCAATAGAGCCAGGTAAATTGTAATTATATTCTGTTGTATTGAGGTATTCTTTTGCAAATCTATATTAGATATAAATTTAATAACCTTTAAGCTTAACTAAAAGATACTTCTGGTATACTATGTCTCAAAGATGAGGCAGATTAATATTCTGATGTACCTCTTTCTATTGAATAGAGTTTGTTTTTAACAGATTGAGAGTTTGATAACATGGATGAATTATTTGTAATAGGATTAGCAATTTGTCTAATTTTAAAAGTTAAAGCGTAGTCATCATTTGATGAAATCTTTCCTTCTACTAATTACCCATTTTAGAGAAGCAACTTGTAATATAAGAAGCTATCAAGTTCACTTGGATTAAATTGTGCAAATTTGTTATTGACTCTTACTTTCAAAGGATATTTTGAATCCACCAAAGGTAAATTAATATTAATGGGAGATTGCTCTTAATTTTTTTAAATTTAGTGTACCAGCTAATGTTTCGAGATGAAATATTGTTTCTAGGCCCTGAGAGATATTGATGATAATTGGTTCTTTGTTTTTTACAATGAATAATTTCACATCAGACAATGAAATACTCATTAAATTTATTTGATACTAAATAAAATAATCGTTTCTTTCTTCTTTTTATATGTATTTAAAAATAAATATTTAATAAATATTATCTATATATATTATAGTATTATAAGCATTTTGAATTTAGTAAAAGTTAAGCAATGAATTCAATTAATTTTCATTATATATTATTTATAATTATTTAATATATTATTTCTTAAAAAGTAGAACTCTGTTTTTGAATAAATTATTATTACTATTATTAATTGTTAAATGATAGATAATTATATTTTAAAAGAGAAGGAATTCAATAAAATATAAATTCATTTATTAAATAATTATAAAAAGCATAATAAAATTTTGATGTAATAATTTGAAGAAGAGGAGGAAGATTTTAGTAAAGGAAGAAGAAGAGTAAAATTGAATGAAGAATAATCATCTATAATCCCATTGATACCTGGTATATTGGATATGATTTTTTAATTTTTAACACCTTCTTAGCATTTGTAAATGAGATTAGTTTCTCATTAATGCAATACTGTAGTTTAATAATTTATGAAAAAGTTTCTAGTCACATAAGTATAAAAAGGAACGTTTCAATAATTCAATAATTTTATCAGTACATTAATTATAGCAAATATTTATAGGACAATTTTCATCATTAAACAAAATAAAATTACCTCCAATTTCATCAGATCAACATAAATTATGTGATGATATAAATCCCCAGTATTTAACTTAAGTTATTTTCCATGATTTCTTAAATGATTCATAATCTTAATAAGAATATTTAAAAGAGTTTTTCCAAAAGTATAAATCCATAAATTCTGTTGGAATAAATAAATTTTTATCACTTAAATGGTTACCTCTTGAAAATATTAAATAATTAGATTTATCATCTGTAATGGAAATAAAAGATAAAAGTTTTTTGGAGAATTGTAGAAGTTTAGTTTCTTTATCATTTCATGTTTAAGAAATAAACAATTTTTTTTCAACAAGTGAATTTCCACCTTTAGAATAATTAAAAGTATTAAAAATAAAATTATGGGGACCAACTTTTAAAGAAGAACATTATTAAAATTTCTTAAATTTTTTAGAATCAATAAAAAATCTTGAAATATTAGAATTATTATTTTGTTCTTATGAATCAAATTGTGTTAAACAAGATGTATTTAATGCATTTGTTACAAAATTACCATGTATAATAATAATAATATATTTAAATTAGAACTTCGTATATTATATGCATTTTCTTGTTATGATTAAATATAGAATACATAATTTAGATAGAGATTTGATTATTTAGTAATTGAAAATAATACATACATTAAATTAAAACCTTTAGATATTCCAACTTTAGAAACATTATTGGCTTTTACTAATATTTTAGATATTACAAAATGTAAATTAGAAGAAGAAAATGAAAAATAAATATAAGAATTCTTAGAGAAATAAAGAAAATGTTCAGCATAAAAAAATGAAACCATTTTGAAAGTAATATATACATTAATTTAATAAGGTATCTTTTGAATAAAAACATATTCTTGCTGAATATCAGGACTTTCCTAAAGTCCAAAAAAATAGTGAGTTTACTACCTTTTGGAATTCTGGTCATTATTCTATTTGAGAATTTGTATTGCATTATAAATGATATTTTATTATTATAATAATTTGTTTGAAATTTCTTCATATAGTTTATTGTAATAATTTGATATAATTTTTTATACTAATATGGGATAAATCTGTAAAACTTGTGAAAAAAAGGATATTGATAAAACTGAATTAATAGTTGAATAATCTCCAAAACATTAAGAAATAAAATTTATAGAAGACTTTGATTATATAAGTGGTTTAGATAAAGTAGAATCGTTAAAAAAAATGAGTTTACTCTCATTTTAACATAAAAATAATAATAGTAATTATCCTTATGGGGACTCAATATATTAAGGATCTCTTTTTAGTGTAGTAACTCCAGATTTTAGTGCTTTTTCTTCAAATTTAGTTTAGTGAATTGTCTTTTTGGTCAAATCTTTGAATTGACCTTTAGAATGATTCTCCTTTATATATTTATATTAATTATATGATATCATCTATGTAAATAAAGTTAATGGTTACAATAAATATCATTGTAATTAACATAAAAATTATTAATATTTTGTAATAATGATATACAATTGATTTTATTTAAGCAGATTGTTATCATATTAAAATAGCTCCTTTTTATTTATCTTTAACCCATATGAACATTATATCAGCAATTATGACTGTATGTATTACATCTGCAAGTATTAAATATACAAACTTTTCTCCAGCCATATAATTCATAACCCAAAAGACTAATCTAAGAACTCTAGAAAATCCCATAGCAACAAGATATTTAGATATGTCTGCCTCAATAGAACCGATTTTTTTGCTAATTGTGTTCTAAATAAAATTACCTCACATAAATTTGAGGCAATAAGCCACAAGCTTCAATAAACATACTCATAGATACAAACATTTAAACTGTAAAGTAATTTTCATTTTTAGTTCCTGGATGAAAAAAGAATGATAAGACTAAACAAATAGGTATGATAGTTTGATATGAAAAGTATGGATTTGATATTTAATGGAAACGTGTATGTCTATTGATAAATATATGAAAATGAATATACCTGTATTTATGAAAAAGATAAAAGATATATGCACTCAAGACAATAGAGATTACCAATTCAATCCAAATTAAAAAGAAGCTTAATAATCTAGTGTCACTTATATAAAGTATTCGCATCACAGCTCCAATAAAATACATCACTTATGTTTCTAAGGCTAATCCTTATATATTCTTTTTCTCATTAATGTATTTTATCAAAAAATAAGCTCCAGCATGTTATACTAAATATCCTAGTGTAAAAATTATCAATATCAAATCCATAATAATTATTATTAATGGATAAGAAGAATCAAATTAAGGAATTAGAAAAAGAAATACATGATAAATGGTCATAATTAATTGAATCATATTATAATCCTTTAATTAAGAAAGCTCATATAAGAAGTGTTTAAGAAATAGCTAAATGTTAAGATTAAGAATGTATAGAAAAATGGTTGGCAAAGAGAGAAGCTCCAAGAAATTATTTAAAAAAAGTTACTAAAACATATGAAAATGGTATTGAAGATTGTCTATTCAATTGCAAATATTCAATGGCATTAGAAATGGATGATTGCTATATTGATTGTTTTTCAAACATTAAGAAAATAGTTGATAAATTACACTAATTTTGATATAATTATTAATATTATGAATTAAATAAGTAAAAAAATTCGAAAAACTAGAGCAAAAAAGAAATGTATATTTGAATCTTCTAAGATTGTATTTTGTAAAATATTTGCATTCTTATCACCAAAAGAAAAATTGAAGTGTCGTTTTGTTTGTAGAATGTTTAATTATTTTTCTATCTTATCAATAGAATCTTTAAATTTTTAAGCATAAAACACAAAAATGAAAGCATTTAAACCATTTATAGGTATTTAATCAATCAATTAAACTTAGCAAAATGCACAAACTTAAAATATTTAATATACCCTTGTTTATATAAACGAGTTTAAATGACATCTTTAGTTGGTAAAAAGAAAAGACCATAAATTAGAGAAATTACTCATTTATGGTTTAGAAGTTATGAAGATATTGCTGAATTAATGAAATTAAATACTGGATTAAGAGCATTAGAATTAAAATTTGATTTTAGAGGAATTAATTATTAACCTTAAATATCTTAAGATGTTTAAGAAATTCTATTAAATTCATCAATAGAAGAATTTATAATAAAAGAATAAGAAATTCATGATTTGGCTTTGATAGAACTAATGAAACATAAAATCACTTGTATTAAATTAGAAGTTAAGAATGATTAAAATTAATTAATAGAAAAATTGATATCAATAGATATGAAACTTAAGAAATTATATATAAAAATTACTATTGTAGATAATCGAATTGTAGATTCACTCAATTTCTTTTTATAATAATAATTAGACTTAGAAGTTCTCTATTTAGATTTCAAAAAAGGAGTAGATTTATAAAATCATAAGAAATTAAAGACAATTATATTAGAAAATGTTTGTGATTTAAAATCTTCAATGAAATTTCCAACTGTTCTTGTTGACAAACTTATTATTAAATCATTAACAATTACTCATAAAGATATTAAAGTATTTATACTATTAATTATTTTAGTTTTTATTGCAAAACTTTTCTCATTATAATACTTTAGATATTGCCTCAATATAAGGATGTTGGATAGATATTCTATTAGATAAGAAAAAGGCTGAAACTCCTGTCTAAGAATCTGTAAAAAGACTAAATGTTTATTTAAGCAAAGAAACATTAAAAGGGCTCTAACAAATATTAACAATTTCAAATATTAAATTATTTTAATTGGAACCAATTGAAAACTTATTCAATTATTTTTCATGATTTATATATAAAATTTAGATCATTCAGGTGATTTATAGAAATTATTTAATGCAAATAATCTAACTTAACCTAATGTAACAAACATGCAAATATTCCATGTAATAATTCTACCTGCATTTGCTGAAAATCCATTATATAGATTTAACAATTTCTATTAATAACATATTTAAAATTCTTACTTCATTTTTTATGATATTCATTACAACAGTTAAAACACCAACATTTTGATTCATAACTCTAGTCTTAATTAAATCTACTGGTTATCCAACAATTGCTGCAATAAATCCTGCACAAGCACTTGATGCAAAATGACATGTTAATCCTTCATGGAATAACCCTGTCTTAATTAAAGATTCCTTAATATGATCAAATGTAGCTAATTCTGCACAATTAATCACTGCATTTCTAATGATATTTGGAGTAACTCCTCTCCAAAATCCATGCAACCTTAAATTATTTTATTATTTATTACCCATCTTATTTATAAATCTTAATGTATGCATCTGTCAAATTTTTATAACGACGTTATTCAACTGGTAGATTTCCATCAACTTAAAATCTCACTTTTATC